TGTGTGTGTGTGTGTGTGTGTGTGTGTGTGTGTGTGTGTGTGTGTGTCAGGGGGGGTCTGCTGCAAATAACAGAGGAGGGGGAGGACGAGGAGATGCTCTCTGCTTGATTTGACCTTATTTAAATAAAAATGACTACCTGCTGTGAAATTCTTGAAGGGGCGGGCCGTCTCGTTGGTGGGGGGACACTGGAATGCAACAGGCTGTTTTTACTGGCACTACTCAGGTTCTTTTTGYTTTCTCCAACACCCTGCTGACATGTGTGTTTTCTGTCCAACCATTAGCCCATCATCCTGATCCTACTGGACATACCCCCAATGCTTCCAGTGCTAGACGGGGTCGTCATGGAGCTGCAGGACTGTGCCCTCCCACTTCTGAGGGGTGAGCCTACTGTGTGTGTCGATGTCTTCACCTATTAAACCCACAGGGGTTTTAGAAGTAATTTCCACCTGAAAACACACAGCCAAATAAGAATAACTCCACAGTTTTAAGGTCTAAATGCTAACTCTTGGTGCCTGTGTAAAGATAAGATGTTAAAGATAATTTCTTAAGTGAAACCACTTACTGTGCCTGAGTTATTTGTGATTAAACTAAGAAAATATTCAATTTTTAAACCTCGCCTAAAATTTTTTCTAAATCAACAGTGCAAAACACAATGAAAACTCTTGTGAAAACCCAGGAATGCCCTTAGATTTTATACAGCTATATCTTGAGAATAATTATAGCAAAGTAGGACTGAATAAGTTAAAGTACACATATTCATTTCACAAAGGTTTTAGTGAGCAGTGTGCCATGTGGAAATGGCATTATGGCACAATTTATCCAAATGTACCCAAAATTGTGCCAAATGGTTTTTTTACTTTATAAAAGAGACTCTGGTCTAATAAAAGTGTTGATTTTTATTGTAGTGCTCATTTTGCATATGGCATAGCCTTTTCTTATGACATTTACACTATCATTTAAATATACCAATGTGCACACCGTGAAATCACTGAAATGAAAAAATAATGAGATGAATTGTATCCTTTTGGCTCTGTTTATGGGATTAAAAAAAACATGTTCATGACAAAACTTTGTCAACAATTGTGCAAAATAACAATTATCAATAAAACACTGTAAACAAGTAAAATATAATCAACAATAAAAAGTGAGTGCCACCTCTCCTCTCCTCGTCATCACCAAGTCGAAGTGTAGCCCGACTGACCCTCCTCGATCCTTTGTCCCCGTGTTGGTCGACTTGGACGAGCTGCTCCTTGGTATTTTGGCTGAAGCTTTTCCATTGTTGTGGAAGAATGTAGCTGGTGAGAAAGTGGCCAATATTCCTCATCTTCATCAGGACCATCATCACTGCAGAAACAGACAGGTATTTGCTGAAGACTAAACTTGACTCTATTTATCTGAACAACATGTGAAAAATGAGAGTAACATTTGACACTGAATTATAATAAGCTTAGAATCACAACACCAACTCTAGCAATGTTTACATGCACAAAATTCTTTGATCGGATTGAAATTTATTCAGATTAAATAATCGGAATAGTCCGATCATGATGTGTTTACATTCACCAGGCTTTTATTCAGAATAGAAGCACTGATGTGCAGTTCCTACTTTCCCTAAAAAAAAAAACAGAAAACAGTTCTACTTTCGTCATGAACGTAAACAACTTCTGAGCTCAGAATGGACCTGCGACAGGTTTTAATAACAGTGGAGACGTTACTGCACGCTCTGGTTCAGCTACAGGTGACGAGCAGACTGTTTTTTTTTTTGGCGAAGCTGCGTGTCTTCCTACTTTACTGAATGAGAAAATGGGAGGAAAAGTTCTGTGCTGCATCGCTGCTGTCCCTCCCTCCACAAAAGAGCAGAAACCACTGGATGAAAGTCAGCAGACATGCACAGTCAGGTCAGTTTTCCACAATCAGAATAAGATGATCAGATTAAGTGTTTAAATGCACATCTTTCGGATTATCAATCGACATAAACCACCCCTCATTCCGATTAAAAATTCATTCTGATGGAGCTGAATCGGGCCAGAATAATCCGAATGGTGTGTTTACATGACATTTTTATTCCGAACGGCCTTTTAATCCGATTACTTATGTCCATGTAAACGTAGCTACTGTAATGATGCATCATGCTTACTTTGTAACCATAACTGTAAACTGAATAAATTCTCACTTGAAAGAAACTGATAATGGCTCAACCAAAGTGCCAGGAGGCTGACTCTGGTCAGATGGCTGACTGTAGAAATATATAAATAAAATTAGTTACTGCTCAAATCTTCTGTTTACAAGATAAATCATTTCCAACTATATCACAAAAATAACTAAAATAAAAACAATGCTGTAACAAGAATCAATAAAGATCCTTTTACATAATATGGTACTCCATTTTGTTCAGAAGGTGGGGGCGGACGGACGGAGACATCGTGCCACATTTTCTTACTATGACACAACATTATTTCCAACTACATCCCAAAACTTACAGAAAATACATAAAAAATAGCAGAACTTACTCTTGAATTGGGTCCACAAGTTCATCTGCCAGTTGACTGCTTCCTCCATTTCAAAATCCTCGCTGCAGTCTCTTCCACCTCTACATCACTGGTGCTAAGATTCTTCTCCAACGGGGGTGGGGTCTGCAGAAAAAATGAACCAACGCTTAAACCGTAGGAACAGTATGAAGAAAATTAGAGTGGTTTTGAAACAGTGACTTTAATATCATAGTATACAGTGAAACTGGTATCTGGCCTAGTCTCATGCGTGTGGTGGTGGGGGTAATTTAAATGTCTAAAAAGTTCCAGAAAACATGAGACTTTTAATCTTTAGTTGCTGAAGCTGTGGTTGAGATGGTATTTTGCTGCTTATTTTTTGAAAAAGAGATTTCAGCGCTAAACTTGTTTTTGTTAGTTTAACATGCTTTTATTTTTTCACATCCAGAAGGTTCACTCTCATGGAGAGCTTCTAAACAGAATGTGTAAATTCTGTACCATAAAGAAAGGAACAAGTTGTATGTGTAGTTGGTGTGTGTGTTAGTAGATTTCTCAAGGTAGACTGTTTTATTACAAACTCAAGATGTTCAGCGAGTTACAAATAGGTGTAAGAGTGAGCTTAAGGTGAATTAAGCTTCTCCCACATCTCTCATACACAAGGTTATGAGGAAACTTTTACCAAGGTATTTCTCATTACTTGTTAATATCTTGACTGTGCGAAGTGAAAAGTGACACAATAAGTGAACGTTCAGATGAGTTCAAGTTGATTCATAAAATACTATGCAATCATTTATTTACACAAATTGAACAGATCATAAGTTACACTTGATTGTGGTTAATCCTATAACAAGCGTCAGAGTTAAATGAGATAAAACCCGCGTCCGAATTTCA